TGCATTGTCCTTTTGCACTAAGCCCCATGTTCTCCAGCGGACCCTCTCCCCTCCCCCCGGGTTCTTCAGGTCAGGCCTGCAATCCCTACACATTCTTTGCTCCTCTCTTAACTAACACCTCTCATTTGTAGGGCCCTGTGTTTCCCGTGGGCCTGCGTATCACACTCGCCTGTCTTCACGGGCCCCCAACTCATTGACTTGTGGGGGATTTGTAGGATTTGTCTCATGACCCCAGGTCCTTTGATGCCACCCCTTTGTTCTTTTTAAGAAAATTTTTTGTTTATTTTTTATTGAAGTGTAGTTGATTTACAATGTTAGTTTCAGGTGTGCAGCAAAGCAATTCAGTTATACATATACAGACATATGCCACCCTTTGTTCTTAGGAACAAAAATGCCCACCTCCTGACACCACCTGGGATCCTCTCCTTCTTAAGTGTAGGCAATTTGCAAGTCCAAAGCGGATCCTCTATTTTGCTCTTAAGAGCCGGCCAAGCCCTCTGAGGGCGCTTAATAAATACTGAGTAATGAACCTGCAGCTGCTGCTCCTTTGGCTAATTAAATCTAAATAATTTACAGACTTTAAATTATGCAACAAGGCTTGGCCAAAACGGCTTAAAAATGCGGGATCCCTAGCTTTTCTGCTGTGCCCTGTGGAAAAAAAATCCTATCTTTTAATCATGCTTAACCTTCCTGAAAGAACAGTGGCAACCTTTGAATAATGAATGAATGTATATTAGCAAGATTTTTGCCCCAAGCTACACACATTGGAGCCAGATTATAAAAGGGACAGAGGCAGAGCCTGGCCTGCGGGGATTCCGGAAGTTTCTGGTGAGTCACAGAGCGCTGGGAGAAATCATTTGGTAGCTCAGAAGCCCAGAGCAAGGACTACTGAAGAGTACAGAGGGAGGGGGGCGGCCGGATGCGCTGTCTCCCGGCCACATCAGCTGTGATGGCGGCTCCCACAGCACGGGTAGGGGGCACACGCTCAGTTATCCTTTCTCCTCTCCTTCTTCTCTCTCCTCCAAGTACCCTCCCCCACCTCCACGACTGCCCAGGCCGAGAGCCCTGTCTTCACAGAAGGTAGGTGAGATGGAGTCACGAAGCCTAGAACAGCACTTCGCATACTCACAGGTGCACTCAAGTCACTGGGGTTACTGTCAAAAGTGCGTCTGATGGGTGGGTCTTGGGTGGGGCCTGGGATGCTGCACTTCTAAGATGCCTGGTGCTGCTGGTCCTCAGATCCCATGTAGAGAAACAAGGAGTTAGGTTTTGTATTAAAGCTGAACATTTCAATCAACTGGGACACTTTTCAGGCTCCCAAACTTCCCTGGACACCATCTCAGATCAATTAAATTGAAATTTCTGAAATCAGGCCCTAGGCTTTGGTCTCATTCCCCACTCACCTTTTTTTTCTCTGTTAGTTTAGATAATTTGCAGGTCACCCAAGCAAAGCTTAGAAAGCTTAACTGACTTGCTTGCAATCACCTGCTAAAGTGGGATTAGAAACACCTGGCAGGGAAGTGGCATTTAGCACCAAGATTGTTCCCTGTCCCTCTTGCAGATTTTAGCATCTCTGGGGCTCTAGCCATGTCCCTGGGCTCAGGGTTGCAACCTATGTGATTCCATTTGAGGAGCAGGAGGGGTTCGTCTATCTTTCTCTTCCTAAGTCTGCCTGAAATTTCACTCTTAGTGCATGTTTGGGCTACAGCTGAGTGTAATGTGGAGGCTCTGTTACCCTCTCTGTCTTCAGCATCATGGTGTGAGTGGGCTGACAGGAGAGACTTCCAGGGACACTGGGCTGTATTCTGCCAGATCTGGGACTCAGGAGGGGAAGGGACTCTCGAGGCAGGCTTGCCTCCTCTCGCAGCTCTGCAGAGGGTGCCCAGCACAGATGGGTGTGCCCTTCTAAGTCCCCAGACAGGGCTGCTGTCCATGTTGTGCAAGATCTTGGGGCCTCAGGGAGAGGCCAGGAGGAGGAAGGCAGAGCCGTTTCAGTCCTGTGTCCGGAGAAAACCATGCCCTTCCTGCTGTGGTATGTGAGTGAGGCCTTCAGGCAGAGGTACAGCCAGGGGCCAGACCCAGATTGGCCACAGCTGTGCTCCACCCAGTTGTCTCAAGCCGGACCATGATCCTGGCTCAGCGCTGGGGCAGGCTGTGGGAGCTGGGCCTAAGAAAGCAGGGTAGGATAGACACAGTTATTTGCTTATTCAACATCCATCACTCCCTCTCCCCACATCCATATTATCAGAATTTTAATTTTGTTCACCCAGGCAAAAAACTTGCCACACCTCAGATGTCCTGAATCTAGGAGCAGCAACATGACCAATGAGATTTAAGCAGAAATCTTAAAGTGGGTCTTTCTGGAAGGCTTTTTAAAGATGGCCCCTTCCTTTTTCCCCCTCTGCTGACTTGGAGTTGATACCTGGAGCTGCAGCAGCCATCATGAGATTATGAAACTAGAAGCCATGGGGTGAGGAGGATAAAAGCCATATGCTAAGGATGGTGGAACAGAAAGAAGCCTGGGTCCTCTATGGCTTCCTAGAGCAGTTTCACCAGTCATGGACTGCCTTACCTGGGGCGTCTCAGTATATGCGAAACAGAAACCCCTGTTTGGTTAAGTCACTGTGGCCACATTTCTTTTATAGCTAAATGCAGTCTTCACACTAGGACCTCAGAGTGTTCCTGAATTGGACATGGGAAGATGAGGCCAAGGCAAGAATATGGTCCCCAGGAGGGGGTTGGGGGGAGGTCACTATCTCATTCTACAGTCTTCAGGGATTCCTTATTTCCCAAGGGATGAAGTTCATATTCCTCAGACCAACATTCAAGACTATAAAATTTGGTCCCAAATCAATTTTCCAGGCCTGTTACCATTCACTGGAGCACAGATGAGCCTGCTTCTTCTCCTGAATACAGATTATACACTACCACCTTGAGCTTAACTCAGGTGCATTCTCCCTCCTCCTTTCTACCTGTCCCAGGCTCACCTGCCCTTGTGGACTGCTCTTTGGAAAAGACTTCCTATCATCCTGGGCTCCAAGGACCTCTCCTTCTTTGATCTCAGTCATCACTGAGGTCTGTGTGCCTGATGGCTTCTTTATATTGTAATGCATATTAACCTCACCTCCCTAGCAGGCCTGTGAGAACGTCCAAGGCAGGATTTGGAAGCAAAGAGAATTTGGGAGTGTAGAAAAATCGTGTGCTTTGGAGTCAGGCTTGAGATCTCACATGGTCTTGAATACGTCACTTAACCTCTCTGAGCCTCAGTATCCTTGTCTGTGAAATGGGAGTGATGCCCATGTCTACCTCCCGGGCCTCCATAAAGCATGTAGCACAGTGCCTGGCCCACTGGAGGTTCTCTAGAAGGGCTTGCATGTCGCCTTGCTGCCCTCCTGGTAACACTGGACTGTGCCTTTTCACTATCCTTTGCATCTCTATCCACTTTAGTTTCTCCCTTCCATCTGATTTTCTGCTTAGTATTTGAAGCGGGAGACCTGTACCAAGTTTGGGGAGTGATCAGGAATCGTTCTCATTTTTGCCAAGGGCAGATCTTAGGCTACTGACTTCAGTCTTCCAGCAGAGTAGGTAGGAGGGCTAGAGGGGAGATTCCATGTCCCCTGCTAAGGAGGCGAGATGAGATGCTAACTTAACTGCTCAAGGGAGTTTACTAGGTGTTTCTCTGAAGACATGTAAGGAAAATGGGTGTATTTAAGTTCAGTTGTACCTGGCAACAGACAATGAAGTAAATGGCCTTATAGTACCTTTTTTTTTTAAACAACCACATTACTTGCTTGTCTGTAACAAATTAAATGTCTGGCCGTTCGTATCTTTTTGTTATATTCTTGTATTGTCCTCCCGTCCTT